AAAATTGCCATTTTTAAGGCATGTTAAAGGCACGCGTGTTTAGACACGTTCTGAAATACACCTTAAGTTGAGCTAAAGAGCTTTAAGTTGATATATGCGTAGACATGCCATATGATGAGTAGCTCTGTACTCACTACCTGGAGAAATGCATTCCCTACTTATACCTATATTGGGTACAAATAAAAGTGAAGTGTGTTCAGAAGTGTTTTGCAAGATTAGAGCCTTACCAGTGGCATAAATGGAGAGCCCCCATCACCAACTTTGAAGGTTAGAAGGGGGAAATAGCCACTGCTGCAGAGGATAGCTGATGATTCCACTGCAGCCATTAGCACAGCAGCTGGCTGCTGCCTGTGTACTGCTCTTGCCCTGAATGCAGACGTGCCCTGACATGCCTCTGGACCTTACATTGCAGTCTATGTGTCAAATAATTCGTTAGGGAAGAGCATTTAAAAGTGTAAGTTTCTTTACACCGTACTAGAAAGCTATGTGGCACCTTACAACAGTGAAAATAAATATAACACAAAATAGCTTTTCAGAAGGTTTTATAGTCTAAGTATGCTTCATTCTTCAGTGTTGCAATGAGTGCTTTCATACTATGGTAGCAGGCACAATAGAATAGATTGTTGGAGAAATACTGGTGCTTTGAATTAGTTTTAAAGTGTGAGAGAAACACTGGCATCTAGTGGTCAGCTTGGTTAACTGTAAGAACATATTCCCATTACACCTGTATTAGGTACAAATAATTGCTTCCAAAGTCAAACTATCTAATTTCTTTTTGTTAGTTTCCAGCTGGTTGTTTCATATATTAAGGAGAAACAAATACACGCACACACAAACACAGATATCTAGGGCAAGATCTTTTCTCATTTATTAGGTATCTAAGTGACACTTGGGTGCCCGACTATGATCTATCTCATTTCACTTTGTCAAATGCCTGAAAAACCTTTAGCACAGAAGATGGTTGAGTCTTCCTCCTCACTATTTTCTGTTAATTAAGACTTAATGCTAAGATGAACGCACAATACAAAAGTAGATGCTTTTATGTTTTTTTAGGGATCTGAACAGGGTGCACATTTAGGCTCATCTCTATGTAAAATCATCTGTAGTTTCATAGCTTATTACTTCCATTCAAATAATTTTAAAATTATGCATGTGTCTAAAGGACATATTTTCAAAGGTGTTTAGCTGTTTACATATAGTCATCTATCTAGATTTTCAAAGATGCTTAAACTATAATTGATTCAATAGGACGTAGGTCAGTGCTTCCCAAATTTTTCCTCAGCATGACCCTATTTATGGTTTAATTTCCTCAGCATAGCCCCTCACTCCCAACCCACAGCCCCACATCCCCATGATCCCATCTGCTAATGTTGCAACCCCGTTTGAGGTCATGACCCACAGTTTGGGAACCACTGACCTAGGTGCTTAACCTATTTGGAAAACCTAAAGTATTTGGAAAACCTAGGGCAGCCCAGATCCAGAGACTTTGGCAGTGCAGTGCTAGGCAATGTAATAATTTTAGGGAGCCTGATTCCCTTAGTGGTACCAGACCTGGATTAGGCATTTTCTGTTCCTTGTACAATGCAGTTAGGCGCTTCAGAATAAGGTTCCAGGGGATGCATCTACACATACAATTAAATGTGTATATTGTGCCAGTGTATTGCTCCTGGGAGCTGCATTTGAATGTGTGCCTGGCACCATAGCACATTGAGCTAAGTCAGAGCAGCCCTGGCTGGCAGGCCAAAGGGTCAGCCTGTCAACCTGGGGCTGCTCCAACCTGGCTCAGCATGCTATGGAGCATTTGGCTGGGGCATGAGGGTGCTCCAGTGCAGGGCTAGCCAGGAGGCAGTCCTCTACTGAAGCACCCTCATGCCCCAGGGAGCTGGGTCAGCATCTACATGCACAGAGTACTAAAAAACCCTGCAGTAGGATAGTGCTTGCATCTGATATCCAAAAAACTTACTATCTAATTTTGTATCTACTATCTAATAAACTTCTATAGTGGAGTTTAGTCTACTGCAGCCTAATAGGGCTGCACATGTAGACACCAAGACTTTTACATTTAGTCAGCTTCACAGTAAACTTCTCATGTACATAAGCCCAGGGGAATAACTGGTGAGTTACCCACACTAGCCAATAAAATTCTAAGAACAGGCATAAGTCTTAAATCCTACCCCTCAAACCTTAGGCTCCTCTCTCCACTTCAGACTCACAATCCCTCCGAACCTTCCGAAAAGAGTGCAAAGACCTTTCTTTCAAAATGGATCGGGGTTACTGTTTTCTAACATAGCCAGAAGAGGTTCTCTTCCCCTTTTACATGATTGTTACCTAGTGATTAAACTATTTACCAAAGAGGGGATGGAAGTCCTGGGCTCTAGTTCTTGTAAACTTACCTTATAATCTCCATAGTAAGTTTTGCTCTGGGGACAATGCTAAGTGTCAATGAATGATTTTCTAACAAATTGCCAGGACCCCCAAACTATTTTACAAGCTTGTAAAACACAATATAGAATTGAACTTTTAGAGGCAAATTTAGAGCCAGTAGGGTATATGAAGGTTAATCAGATGGATAGTTATCCCTCACTGCTCATATACTTTTTGTAATTGTTGCACAAGTAACTGTAGCACGGTATACACCGGCTTGGAAAAGATGCTGAAGAAATCTATGGCTGTAGTTGGTGTCCACAAGCTACAGGAAACCAATGGCCAAATTCTCCTTCATTCTAATGTCTACTGAGAGTCAGCTGAGCGACTTCCTGGCTTTTACTGTGCCTTGCTCTGGACTTATGTGTGGCAGTGATTCTTTTCAAGTTACCTCCATGCATTTCTGCTAGACAAAGCACACTAATGGACATCTTCCAGAAGGTAAGAATTTGGGCCCCTATTAGTTTACACATGTGAAATGTTTGAGCCAGCCAAGGTTTTCTGAATTAACGACATAATTATTTTAGTTTGTCAGCAACTAGGCAGTTAAATTAGGTTATTGTTCTATCACTTCATAAATTGAGTCCTGTTATAGCTAACAGACCTTCCGCTTAATTCTCTGAGGTATGTTCTTATGGTTAAAAGACACCTTTTCCAATTATTTTTGTAATTTGAAAAACCACTACTTTATTATTCTTGCATGCATTTGCCTTGCTTTAAGACTAAAATTAACAATGTTACAAAGAGGTTAACCAAAGGACAGATTATCAGACACAGGCAAATCTTACTAACAAAAATGTTTCTGTATTTCTTCCATTTATCGGATATATTTATTAACTTAGAAAATGCAGAGGTTGAAAAGAAAATGCACGTTCTGCTTGTGATATTAATTTGCATACACTTCTCGTTCTAATCTGTCTTTGACTTTTTCTTAGAAGATAGTTTTGTAAAAACAACTTTAAAACACTGTGTTCAATGTTACTTACAATTTCTGAAGTGTATTGTATTGGACTGTCTTTGAACTGAATGAAAACACTCCAGTTTTTAGAAATTACAAATTTTATTTTTTCATTGAGGAGGAAAATGCCAATTTTATTTTTTCGTTCAGGAGCTTGCCTTTTCAGAGGTACACAGATCATTCAAAATTCTGATAAAGACATTCACCCTACTTTGGTATTAACTGAACTTAAGCAAAGAACATCTTAAGTTCAAAACACTTAGTTAAAAGTATGTAAGCTACAACATGTTGGAGGGGTCCTCCTTCCTTGAGAAAATATTGCTGAAACGTAGGCAGACAAGGTTTTTGTGCCTATGTCCTTAGACCGAACAGCTACAAGCTACACCCTTGCTAAAACTTAAGTCATTTTTCCATTTACTTGATCTATTACTAACAGGAGCAAGTCTGCCACAGGATTGCAATGCAGTCTTATTTGAACACCAACCTGTGTGCTTTTGCCATAGGAGATGAAATGAATGGAACTTTGTACCTGCAAAAGCTCCTTTGACATCAGTTGGGCAGGGAGATGCACCCAGACCGCTGAAGTGGCGGTTGTGGTGAAATAAAAACAACCCCCCACATAGAACAAACAAAAAAACACCCAAAACTTTACTGGAAGCAGAAGCTCATTAGTCTGTCCCAACTCCCTAGCATCTGTATATATTGGGTGCTTCAGTGAGGCTTTTAGGCACTTTCATCTAGAGCTGATTCAATCAGCTATTAGATAAAAGGACCAAAAAGCCCTGCTGAATTGCCCAATATATAGAGACATTGGGGAAGCTGGGTTGAATTAACATGCTTCTTCTGGTTATGCACTGTGCTTGGCCATGGGACAAGCAGAGCTGGAAGTGAAGCACTGTTTTGTTTTTTCATGACTGTAAGCAGCCCCAAGAATAAACTTACAGGATCAGCTGCTAAAGACAGAGATGCTTTGCGAACCACAGAAAGGGAGCACTTTTTGCCTGCTATATGCATTTAGTCATTCAAGTCAACCTGTTCAAAGAATTGGCACGTAAATCTGAATTTAAAAAGTGAAGTTTTGTTTTTAATATGTAAAGTTCTCATGATGTCAAATATCTCTTGGAAAGCCAATTTTCACTTTTCAAATTTCACATGCAGAATTCAGAGAATTTATTCATTTAAGTAATGGTCATATTTGGCTATTCACACAAGGGGATATGATTTGCTGCAAACAGAAAGACCAATTATCTGCATGCAAAAATCACTGTACATATTTGCTACAGCCTGAATTAATTTATGCTACACACATGCTTTTAGAAACCTGGGCATCACATCCAGCCAATGTTTATGCATGCTTAACTTTACACATTTCAGCAGCCCAACTGGAATCAAGTGATTAAGCCTAAGGCTGTGTACGTTTTGCATGTCTCAAGTGTTTTGTAGATTAATACTTGTACTTACACATTCTTGATGCTGATTTTTAATTTAATGATGGTTAACTGTCATCATCTGTAAACATTTTACAGCAGGGGATGGGTCATATTATAGATTGGTAACTGCTGTTTAAGTAATTTTACAAATATTAGAGATCTAAATGAAAAAACTCAGTATACGATCCAAGAGGAAAAAAGTATAATTTAATAAATATATTATTAAAAAGTCACTTAATAAAATGAGAGATAACGAAAAAAAACCCAGCATTAAAACAGTTCCCTTTTCACCTTCCATCCTAAATCCCTTAACTTCAAGAGAAGCCTATACACACATGAATTGTAGTGAAAGCATTCCATTTCTTTTTCCAGTATAAAATTGGCATTTTCAGGTATTTAAAACAAATTAGTTGAGTTTACAAGTTTATCAAAACAGATAACCATGTGCAAAAAAGTAAATAATCCAGCTTGATCTAGGTCTATGTTATTCAGTATTTGTGATTTAGGAAATAAAAAAAAAAAAATCGTTTTACTTATCTACTGGGTCCTCTATAAAAATTTACTTCTTAATATACAATATGCACGGGATGTCTAAGATCCCAGATTATTTCCAGTTGTTTTTCAACATGGATTTCAAAATCTCAACTCACAGAAAACAGACGGGTTTGGACAAAAGGTAGATTACTGAGGTATTTTGGTTAAAACTTTGCACCGCCTGAATACAGTAACAAACAGTTCCAATTGACTTGAACTATGTCTTTAATGAATAGATTATTAAATAGTAGGTACGTAGGACTTATATAGAGAAAAGATAATTGACCATATGACTTAAAAGTTTGCCATAACAGAGATAACGATACTGGCCAGCACAAAACGAAGTGGTATATTCTGGTCAAATTCAGATACTTTGTAAACAATTATGATTACAACTGAAAGATGGATAAGACCATGAAGGTACAAAATCCTAGTCCTTCAGGCACAGAGTACCAATTAGAAGTGTTAGGATATACTTCAGCTTTCAACTGAATGACAGACAGAAGGAATGATTAAATAAAGGATTTTATGAAAATTAAGAACATAAAAATAATATTACATTTTATTCAATTTTCTCTCTCTCTTCTTTCTCTGCCTTTCTTTTCTGCTGCAGTGTCTTCAATTCTGTCATTACATTCAATGTTTTATAAACCCAGGAAATCTGAAAGACAAGTATATTTACATTATGACACGTATGCAAATTAACATTTACAATCTGTTTGTTTAAAAATAAGTTAAAATTAAAATACATACCACAATTATTATAGCATTCAACAACAAAGGTGCTGAAAACACTAGAGAAATAAACATCCCTCTTGAATCAAAATACTGGTGTTTTGAAAATAACCTGTAAGAAATCAATCAAGAGTCAGTTGACATACTTTACAAATTACATTTTAATAAAAATTATTTTGGCACATAGAGACTTCAGTTGATTAGTATAATTTTGCAGTTGAAGAACTCAATGAACAAGATTCCATTACTGCAGATACAGTCCATGCGCAGAACAAATGCAGGTGATATTTTACCACGCCTCTTATTTTTATTCACAATCCTCATGCACACATTTTCATCCCCAATGATTCAAACTTGTATATCCAGAAACAAATCGCGTGTTTGAAATACTATTTGATTTTACTTAATTCCTTTATTACAAGAGACAGCAGAAATTATTCATATATTATAGCCACAATATTAAAGCATGGGTGTCTAAAGTTGGACACAGATTTATAGGTACCTGCACAAGTAAAATCATGGAAACATATGGGTAGTCAATATCTGATTATTCAAATCACTTTAATTTTGATGTCTATAAATATTAATGGCCTTAGTTCTAAAATGTGTGGGCACTTCAAGATACAGATAGGCACCTAGTGGGATTTTCAAAAACACCTTTAAAAAAATTCTGACCCAAGAACTCACTTTTAGACAGTCAAGGTGGATCAAAAATTATACCTCCTGTATTTCTCCCCCTTCTCCCTCCATCCAAAAAAACCTACTAATTTTCACATGTATTTTCATATGAGGCAAGTTTTCTTGGGGGTTTTTGCCATTTTTTTAACTGAATCTGTAAGATTATTTTTAACAATATAATGGGAAAAGATGTTTTCTTGATTAAGTATCATGTTACATGATTGTAATTTTCATATTCATTTGCTTATAATTAGGGACCACTGGAATTCATGCTGGAAATACATTGTGCAGCAGCTCCTTTAATCTTGCAGTTTTCCCTGTGCACCCCACCTCCCTTGTTGATCGGCGGAGGAGCACTGTCACTTGATCCTGATGGCTGGGAAGCAAAAACCAGTTTTAAATATACCATGGTTTTTGCCTCCTATCTGGTCAGCAGCAAGTGGTAGGACTACCAGGGCCCCTCTGCCAATCAGAAGTGGAAGGCAAAAACTGCAGCATATTTAAAATTGGGGTTTCCAGCTTCCCGCCGATGGGGGGTGAACAGCAACATGGGCGAAACTGCAAGACTAAAGGAGCTGCTGCACAGCACGCTTCCAGTGGTCCCTACTTATAACTAATTTAAGTATTACTTCTAATACCTGCCTCTGTTGTTGCAGCATTTAAGACTATAAATTACTTTTGAGGACTGTACAAAAAAAAAAATGTATTTTACATTTAAAAACAAAACAAAAAAACAACAATAAAAATAAATCCAGTTACCTCCAATTCATGGCAGCCAGTTCATTGATATATTCAGCACAATAGACCAGGACCACTGTATCACAAAGAAAACTATTATGATCAACCTCTCTTTAAAATACAATAGTTGGTAATCAGTTCCGAGACTGTTCATGTTATGAATACCATGACTCTCTGTCCCTCAAGAGAATGAATGTAATCATGAACTTAAGATTTTAATAACAAGAGAAAAAAATTCTCATTAAGTTTATAAGCATCTCACACAAGTTGTGACAGGATATCAGTATGTGACCGCACAATATAGTCAGTTTTACAAACAGATATACCTGTGCATCTACATTTACCGAAAATATTCAGCATATACATTCATTTATTTTACACTCTTCACTTTTTAAATGATCTTACTAGCTGCGCATTTGGAAGATCTAGGTTAAGTGCAAAATCTCAGCAAAAAAGGCCCCATTAACCCTGAAACAAGCCTGTAAATATCTGTCAATTACTTGAAAGCAAGATTATGAAGAAAACTTTATAGTTCTCAGAAGAAACAACTGCATCAAAGCCTGGATGAGATTAAGAAGACTCTTTTCAAATCACAGATGCCATCTTATCTCTCATCAGCCCCTCCCAACTCTCCTCCCCTTGTACTGTATTTAATAAGATGTGTTCATGCACAAAATCTGATACTTTTTTGTAACTAAACAAGTTCTCAAATACACTTTATTTGCATAAACTGTTCAGGAAGTCACACTTTTTATACTTTACATTGCAGTATATGTAAACATCTATGAGATTCTCCTACACTTCTGCCTGCTCCCTCCAGCAATACTTCATCAGGACAGTACCACACAGGGTACCTCTCTCCCTCCTGTCATTCATGGCAGTCACGTGTGTGAGAGAAACATCACTTATGAAAACACACGTGCCACAAAGTTGTCTTGTACAGGATTCTTCTTCCTTTTCAAAGAAATATGTTCATGTCCAATGACCATGTACTGTTTAAAAAAAAAAAGAAGTAGAAATAATCTGCTGTAGGGATGTGAAGCCTGGCATAGTCTGTTATACCAGAAAGCAGTGCAATTGCTGCCTTATTTTTCAGAGATGCAAGTTATGTACAACATGCCTCGTTACATCTCTTGGTTCAAAGTTTTGGTAATGAGACACAGCCAAAATTAAGCCAACTTTGGAGAATTCGGACAATTTGGAAAACTTAAAAGGTGAACCATGGAGGACTATAAATAAGGGGCTTATGGTCTTTTGGGTGTATAAAGAAAATCTGAAAGTCTCTTCCCCCACCTTTGTTTTTCCTGCCTGCTTTTTACCTTAGAAATGCCAGGAATGCCTTCCTTGGTTTTGCTGGCAGACTTCTTAGTGATCTCAGATGGGTACTGTCAGCTCTCACCTTAATGGAAGAGCATTTTATTAAAAAACTCTCATGTACTTTACAAAGTTCCATTAATAACAGAAAACATAAAAGTTTGCAACCACTTGCCTAAGTCTTTTCCCTCTCTGCCTCTAAGCTTTTAATCTGTAGCAATGTAATAATTTTACTTTTTCTTCATCGATCCATGGAATTTTTCAGTCAAGAAGGCCAGTTGTGGTTAACAGCAGTGCTGCCCTGGGTATGCACAAGCCTAGAACCAAAGCACAGACCACTGCCTGCCAAGAGAATGCCTGCATTTTAAGCACTGCATCATTAGAAGTCTACATCAGTGTCATACTTGGATGAGTCTGTAGGCTGGTTCTAGACCACACGGCTTCTCACAGGTCAGACAACCCGTTTCTGAATCTAACCCATAAGACTTCCCCCTGCAGCTACAAGCGCCACTGGGCTGATGCCAACTGCCAAGGAGTTAATATTGCTGCTGCTCAACCCCAGGTCCCAGGGTGGCCACTAGTTAAGGAGCTAACAATGCCACCACTCAACTCACTGCCAACTGCATCAATTTTAAAAGATCAAAAGGTAACTTCAGCAGCTGCGTTCACCCTCATGGGCTAGCAGCTGACACGGGTGAACAGAGGCATGGTTAATTCTCCTGCTGCTGCAACCATAGCCAAAAGTCCCATGGGCCCAGATGACCCCCCTTCTCTGGGCTGGATCCAGCCCACAAGTCATATGCTTGATACCCCTGGAGTCCATCATATCCTGTTTAAAATGCCAGCAGCAGCAAGCCCTAACACTGTTCTCGAAGTACTTACACTGTTGCCATTGTACCTATCTTTCAGTTTTTCAATGCATATGATTCTTTAGAAAACTTTAGTCAAAGAAAAAAAAAAATCAATTAATTGAAAGATATTTACAGCTTTAACACAGTGCTCATCATTTACTCATCAATCATGAGCAGTCTCGGACTGTACCTGGCAACAAAAACTGCCCAATTTAACAAATCCATGTAGGAGTCACTTTAATTACTTTCTGTTTTAGTTAGACTGGAGTATCACCAGCCTATTAGCTGGTTAACAAGATGCAACATTTGTTTAGATGAAGCCACAAGACTAACTTCCAGTGAGCAGGCTAGAAAAACATGTGTCCTCTGTCACTGCCCGAGGTACCTCTGTATCGCTATAAATGACAGCCCTTTAACAGGACACAACAGATGGTCAATACATGGAAACTGCTTTTAAAAAACTGTAGAACTAGGACCCACCCGCCAACCACAAGGAGGCAGAGCCAAGTATACACGGAGACCAAAAGATTTAAATTACTTGGAAGGGGTTTGCCTAGATTTGCAGAGATGGGATCAAAATAACCACGTAAAAAGATCAGTATTGTAGTAAGCAGCCAATTTTTATGCTGACCAAATACAAAATGTCATTTATGAAGAATGCAACGCTGCCATGGGCATGCATGCATCTGTTTCCATCCAGGAAGAGCACAGACAAGCTGCAGATGCTCTCTCAGCAAAGGGTATTAGTGCCCCAAAGCGGGCAAAGAAGTCGGTCTAATAAAAGAAATCACATTTACCCAAAGAACCATGTCTACCTATGTCCTTAGACCAGGGATGAGGAACATCTGGCCCATGGACTAGATGCAGTCAGATGAAGACTCCATTTCCCAGCTGCCCCTGCCTGCATGGCTTGTGCCAGTCTCCACGGAGACCACAGGACTGTGGCTCTTCCCCAGCTCCTTGCAGCAGTGACAGCCTGTCTGGAGCCAGGGCAGAGCCACGATCCCCTGCATACATACCTCTGCCTGGAGCGTGCAGGCTACAGATTGTGCCTCTGTCCACAATTGGACTTGTGGCTCCAGAGCTGCCTGCTGGCGTGGCTGAGGCTCAGATGAGCACAAGCCACGCGGGCAGGGGCGTTTGGGAAACAGAGTCCCTGGCTGGACGCTCCCATCCCTGCCTCAGACCAGCACAGCTACAACCTACATCCTACATCTGTGTGCATGAATGTGTGCACATGCATATGTGCAATCAAGACTTCTGGTTGCGATGATCTCTTTTATTCGACCAAGAAGATTTTTGCAAAAAACCCCCCAATTCCTTAATGGCAAGCTTTTGGGCACAAATACCCTTCTTAAGGCATCAGAGAAAAGACTGCATAAGTTCTTCTGGGTAGAAATGAAAGTTTGTGTAAAGAACTTCATAGAGAGCTCTTCATACGAACAAATAAATGAAAGTTCACAGAAAGAACTTTGACAATCTTTTCCCCAATGCTCGAAGGGCATTCGTGCCCGAAAGCTTGCCATTAAGGAACTTGTAGCAAAAATCTTGTTTGTCTAATAAAAGAGAGCACCTCTCCCACCAGTCCCGACTCCCTTTTGCCTCTCGACCAATAGGGCTACAACCAGGATACCACACGCATGTGTGCACGCACTTGCGTGTACAAGGCACTCACCCATGCAGAGGAAGTGTCCGAGCTGCAGGCGGCGGCGCTGGAAGGAGACACACGTGAGCAGCAGGCAGAGGCCGTGGAAGGCGGCGAGCCCCAGCAGCCAGGGCTCCGACCAGTCCGTGTCCTGCGGGCGAGGCGGCGGGTCAGACCGGCACGGACCTCCCACTCCCCGACCCCGCGTCCCCCCGCGTGTGGGGGGGAGGGGAGTCGCGGAGCGCACCCCCTTGCCCCCTCCCCCGGGGGCAGGCACGGGAAGGGACCGTTACCGCCAGCACGGTGGGAAACCCGACAGGAATCGCGGCCCGCGGCGCCTCCATACTGCCTGCCAATCCGCGCCTCTTCTCGCGAGATCTCTGAGGAAGCCCTCGACGGCAGTGCTGGAATCTCGCGGCCGTTGGTTGTGGGCGGGACAGTTGTGCCTCGCGCCGCGCTGTGACGTAGGGGGGCGGAGCTGGCGTTTTCCCGCGAGCCGCCTCGTTCTGCCGGACGGGCTCCCGTCCGGGGAGTGGTTCGTGTGTTCCCTGGGAAGAGGCGCAGCCCCCCGCAGGGTTGGGGCAGATTAACCCTTTCTCGTCTGTTCCCATGAGAGGCTGGGCAGCACCAGGCAGCAAGGCATGGGGAAGGAAGAGTAAGGGGGTGGGAGGGGAACCCGCAATGGCAGGATTCTTCCCTTACAGTCGTGTAGGCTCCTGCTGGCCTGAATGTTTGACTGCTGCCAACTGGAGCCAGTCACAACTCTTGGTAGAGGCGGTATCTTTTATTCATCCAACTAGTTGCAAAAAAAGCCTTTATTTGCAAGCTTTCAGGCTCACGCGCCCTTCCTCAGGCAAAGGAGAGTGCACAGGTTGTAATGTTTCTCCCAATTGGTGTATTCTCCTTTGCAAATAACGACCATTTTTTGCAACTATTTGGTTTGTGAAACTTGAATAAAAGATACTGCCTCTACCAAAAGTTCTGACTATGTTTGCCAGTAGCCTGATGCAACTAAAAGAAGTATCCCCCAAACGAGCTAGCACTGAGACCCATCTATGTTTGAGCAGTTCACAGTGTAACAAGGTCTCAGAAAAGCTGTGGCACTTACTGAGAGGAGCTGGGAAATGAAGATCCGTTGGGTCGCAAGAATACATGAAAAGGTCACTAAAAGGCTTAAAAATGGATTCTCCTTTAAAGGAGAATAACATGGGAAACTGTGGCTTTTGTCTTGCAGCCTGAGTTCCAGCCTGAGAGGGGTTGCTTGGGCTCCTGCCCCCCACACATTGGGGGGCAGGAGGTTGGGAGTGCGAGGCACTGGGTCTGGGCTGGCCATCAATGTTTGCAAACGGGTTCTGGTATGAAAAAGGTTGAGAATCACTGGTTGTGCACTAAGGTCTAGGGAAAAAAAGAATAGCGTATTTTTAGCTGTGACTTTGGCCAGGTGGGTCTTCAGATCTGAACAGGAGTGAAACCGATGCTTGTGTGCCAGAAAAACCCACCAGTCTTTCAATAAAATGAAACATCTCAAAACAGCCCAATGTTTCTATGTTCTCTACCGCAAGGTTTCACATGTTGCTTTTCCTAAGTTCTGTTTGCTTTATTTAAAAGGACCATGACCTATCAGACTCCATATTATTCGATTTTATCTTTAAGTTGGGCCTTTATTTGTACATTACAAATCCAGATCTGAAGTTGCAAAAGAAGCTTTCACCATTTGAAACACTGCTGCCAGGTACTGGTCTCCTTCAGTGTCTCCTGTTGCACTGAAGTCCCAGAGCCCAATTTAAGTCCCACTCTGCAGGGATGCCGAAGACCAACCCAGTTGCCTCAGTTGTTTGTAGCCACTCAGGCTGGGGAGTCAAAGGTGGTTAGAAGTGATGCTAGTGCATGTTGTTAGCTACAAAAGCTGATAGGCTAGTGTTATGGGTTTCTTGGCTTGGGAAAATGTTTGATTTTGACTGTTCTATGACAAGGATGGGTTTTTTTGCCAAATGGTAAGGGATACCTTAAAAGTGTACATTGGGCACATCTACACAAGATGCTGCTGCGCAGTAGCTCATTGCTGTTGTGCAGTAGTGTCGGGCCCTAACCATGATGCGATGCTACTGCACGGTAATAAGCTGCTGTGTAGTAGAATCTGAAAAAAAGCATGTGGGGAACACTGGTTACTGCACAGTCATTTAGTCCTTGTTTATGCTCAGTTCACCACCCGTGTGGACATGGCCAATGAACTGCTCAGTCCGCCACTCGTGTAGACATGGCCAATGAAGGGGAACAGGATCATTGATCTTAAATGCTTTGATAGCAAACTTTCATGCTTGTCTCTCCCATCATACATCACAGAGCTAATCATGATGCTTGATTTTTCTGTTGCCAAATATGCTCTGTCACCCATATTCTGGAAACCACTGCCTTGCCCAGATGTAGGGCAATACAGATGGGTAGCTGGCTCATGATACACTATGAATAATTATGTTTGATGATCATTTCACTGGAAAATATGGTTTCAAGCAAGTTCCCTACACCACCACTTTTTTGGCGTGAATGTCATTGACCTTTAGGGGTTCATTTGCCTTTTCAGAATTTCTAGCAGGGTAATTATCTGCCACAGTATTTGGAGTGGATGAGTGTCACAGACCTGACTGTCAAGGTGGCCCTAGAGTTCCAAGTTTCTCCATGCTGTTGGCTGCTTGTCTCAAGGAACAGATTAGATTTTGTCCCAACATCCTGTCCCCATGAGCCTCAGTTCCACTTGCCCTTGCATCAGACTCTACAGCTGCAATGGGAATTATTGCCAGGTCCCAAAGGTCTTCCCTTGGTTCATGTAAAGGGTTTTTACAGCATGATTTATTACATTCATAGCAAATGATTTGTTACATAGGAGGAAATGATTTTACAGGAAAAAGTGACCCTAAAGTTTGGAGATAGTACAGAACAAAAGAATATGGTAACATTTCTGTGCTGACATTTCTCACTGCAGCAGTCCTTCAGAATATCCTGTCAGTGTTCAGAGACCAGCTTTCCTGTCACACGTTAATATAATCCCTCACTGACCACCAGTTGGCCAGCCCTGTTGTAAAGCAATTTTGCCATCAACACCTTTGTTCATTAGGTATGCATGCCATGGTCCTTGTGACATGCAAATAGCCATTAACTAGAGAGGATTACCTTAATCTTGGGACGTGGCTATAACTTTCCAATTAAAGTAGGTTGCAAAATGGCAAAGATACATACATAGAGAATAACATGATCTATAAAGGCTTAAAAGGATAAAAATTATTGCAGCTCATTATTCTCTTCTGAAAGAGATCAAGGATGAGGGTAGTAAAACTAAACTTGGAACAAATGTTACTGCATGCTAAATCATTCCTGCTTTTGGGGTGGATTTTTTACACCCTCATCCTAAACAGCAGTGTTGTAGAAGTTTGCTTCTAGGGCTATTCTAAAGTCGTAACTATGCTCTCAAACAGGACGAATGCGTGACATTATATTTCTTCTTTGATATGCAAGCCTCGCATACCAAGTTTCTGGAGAATCATACCCCAGTTAAGTAATTCAGAACCTGCCTGTTCACCTTTTCCAAACCAGACCATCTCAAACTCAATCTATTAGATCATATGTTGGATCCTAATAGACCATTATCCTGTTCTTTCCCTTTAAGTCCTGCCCTTCCTCTCCTTCCAGCAAAGGGTTAATTTTGCTTTCCTGTCTTTCCCCCATTTTTTGCTCTTTATATAAGTCTATATTTCCTGGGTGGGGGTGAAGTTCAATTCAGTGCAAAAATATAGAAAAGTTCGGTTAACTTCAGTGGTTTTTCTCTTTAAATGATATTTTCAAAAACCGTAGTATGCTTTTTGGCAGTATGCAACAAGAAAAAAAATGTTTCTCTTACAAAGAATTTGATGGTCTTTGGAAGATTTTGTTCAGATGCATGGGGCACTGCAAATTATAGAAAATGACAAATGTAATCTATGAGAACTCGAAGGACTCCATATTCCTCCCTCCTTGTTATTCACTCTTGTCATCACTGAGGTGCTGTCAGTTCTGAGAACAACAAGCCTTTGAGTATTAGTTCTAATTTTTCAATTATCTCAAGCACTTCTATTCTACTGGCAGAAATGTTAATGTTTGACTCATTAATGTCTGTGGGCTTGTCTAGGATAAGGTTGCATTTATTGTTGCTGAAGTCACTCACTACAGCCTGCCTGAAGTGAAGTGTTAGTACTTCCCTTACAATTTACATACATTTTGCATGAAGTAGCATAACTTTGGAGTCTGCTTTTGCATTGCAACATTCTTTCTGGAATGCTTCAGTTACATGATCACAAGTCAGACTGGAGCACTACTCTGTTGTAAAGTCTAATCTTTGTTTCATATTTAGATACTGCCTTTTCATTTTCATCTGAGAATTGCTGGTTTAGGGAGAGAGCAAATAAAAGTGTATACTGTTCCTGCTTGAGATGCACAGATACAGGTCTCTAAATTTAATCATTCCATTGCAGTCCTGTACTCCACTCTTGGATATTAGCGGTGCGTATCTTGTGACACAGCTTCTGTATGGCCATTAAAAAACCCCACCTGGATATTTTGTCTTTCTAGGATGTGGGTATTGTGAATTTAACTTGGTGCACTTAGCACTGGCACTCTTGCAAGGATGGGAGGACTAGGAGGATAGGGAACAGAGAGGTGTGAAGGGTGGTGGGGCTTTACTTTGGATAGTCACATTGCCTGAAGAAAGGTGGAATGGCAAGTGTGTCCATGAGGGTCAGAAAACTGCTGGAGGTTGTCAGGACTGGCTTGGCATAGGGGCAATGGTAATGACAGGGACAGAGGTTTGTTAGGCCTCTACTGTGCCAGGGGTCTATGATTTGCTTGCACCTAAAAGGGTTAATCCCTCAGAATATGGGCCTGCGGCCCAGCCCCACCCTGAGGCCCACTATTATTAATGACAAACACCAAGTAAGGGTTAATAAGCAATCTGTATTAGAAGTCAAAAATAACAATAATCATAGGAACACTTAACAGAATGCTGTATACAGAGAGCCATACCTGTCTGTCACCAGCAGTGGCAGCCAAGAATGGTGACACCCAGGCTGCAGGGCCTGCTGTCAGATCCCTGTCAGGCAGAGGATTTCTATCCTTTCCACCACAAGCGGAGTACTTGGAGACCTCAAAAGGGAAGGGTGATACTTTACCCGTCCGATGGGAAGTGAAGGGGAGTATCTCAAGTGAGAAGTCCCGTGTCCCCACACACACGCCACTTAGCACCTGCACTCCCAATCTTCCCAGCCTCTCCAGCAAACAAACCTGACACCAAACTCTCAAGCTCTCAAACTCAGCTCACACAGACACGTATGCACACACACACATGCACATTCGCACCTACGCACATAC